TTTTTCTATGAATTTATGTTATATAAAACAAATTGTTAACAGCGAGAAACTAAGTTTGTTGGTACCACACAACGTATGAGTAATATTTTTAATGGGTTAACTATTACACAGTAAAAATATATATACTTTTTTCAAGCAAATTCTTTTTTTGATTGTTAAACATTTTTATGACTTTTATTTAACAGATATTAATAAATTAACCCATAATTAAATAATAATGTTTTATAAGTTTTAAAAGAAAATATAATAAAAAAGTTATAATTATTTAACATATTTTAACAAAACAGGATTTTATGTGACTAAATTTTATTTTTTAAAAAAATGTTAAATAACGCGAATATATTAACAAAATATTTTAAAATTGAAATTTTTTAGTACTTTTAAAATAACTAAAATGCAACGTTTTTTTAAACAGTGTGCAAAAGCTAGATCAATTGTTTTTCGATTTTTCTGTCTAAAGTTTCAAATACACGAAGGCACATATAAAGAATAGTGAATTATTCAATTTTTTAACAAACTTAACAATTTATCAAATCAAGTAAATAAAATTTTAGGCTCTTTTTAGGTGCAGATCCTTAGAAATTTTTCAATAAGTCATTAGAAATTTTATTTAGATGAAGTAATAAGTTTGTAAATTAATGGAACTCAATAAATATATTATATAACATTGTCACAACAAACCCCATTTGTTTGACAAACGTACTTTAGGGCGTATAAAATTTGGAATTAGTTCTAATCCTGAGAGATTAGGTCTCAGAGTTAGGTTATAGACCCTGAGATATGGCCATATAAAAATTAGTCTAAATTGCAAATTCTCAGAATCCCATGGGTTCATATTTCAAAAAAGAAAAAAAAAATTAAAACTTTAATAGCAAAAGTAACAAAACTCCAGAAATATATGCGAACATAAAAAGTCAAGTACGGCTTTGGATCTGTTGGTTAAGGTGCGCTGTTTCTAAGCTTCACATTTGGTAAGATCCGAGTTCGATTCCTGATACTTGCAGTCTTAAAAATAATTATTAACGAATAATTAAATACAAGAATTATTTCCAAGACCGCTGATGAAGGGTATTTGAAAATACTCGAAACAGCTGTATGTCGAGCCAAAAATTCAATTAATTAAAATAATATAAAACATAAAATTTTTGTTGTTGTAGTTCACTACTGTTCGAAAAAACCTCTTTATAAAAAGACATTGCAAATTTTTTCCTGAAGCACGGGAACTTTTATTTGAAATAAGAAGCACATTATAAGAAATTTCAACCAAATCGGAGGTGATATAGTCAAAAACCATTCCACTAGTAAAAAAATGATATGATTTATATACCCATAATGTGCATAAAAGTTTAAGTCAACTGATATCAAAACTACAAATTTATCTCTAATACAATAAATTATTTTTCTTATGCATTTATTTTACACAATTTTTTTTAATTAAAGATGATAAACAATCCAATAAATATTCTATTGTATTGGATATATGTATTTAACCTATAAATATTAGTTTGACTACAAATTTACTACAAATAATTTTCTTATATCGAAAAAGTACATAATAAAGACATAAATTTTGCTAAGACATCGCATAATCTTAGCACCCAGTTTATAATCTTCCACTGCATTACTCAAATCAAACATTTTATGCATTCATTTATAGCTCCTCGTTATAGAGTAAAAAATATACGATCTGCAAAGCTAAAACAAAACCACAAAAACATTTTTCGTATGAAAAATTTGTTATTTTTAGTAGCAAATAATAAAATTCATATATCAGAACATACCATGTTGACTAAGTTTAATGTATGTAATGTACAATTATGTATGTGAGTATATATGTTCATGCGGTTTGTTTATGTTTACTCTGCACGTCATAAGAGTCCGTCCATCAGTTAAGTTTCCCTAGTGACTGCTGTCATTTCTTTATTTTGATTATGTACTATCTGCAAGTAAATTTAAGCGATTACAGCACAAATATTTTACATGCGCTGTATTTACATATCGACATGAAAACACTTTTCTCTTTACTCACACTTGCATACACACACACTGAGATACACAGATACAAAATGAAAAACTTTTACATATGCATTCAATTTACAACGCATTTGGGAATCTAAGCTAAGCCCAACCCAAGGCACGCAGCTCCTCGTAATAAAATTTATATAAGCGAACGCATACACGCACGTAGTTCGTCTATCCTCGATATACCGATATACAAAGGCAAAGGCAGAGGCAGCAAGGAATTCATTGGAGAATTTATATGCAAAATTAGCTGCTAGTTGCTTGCAAATATCCTTTATTTGGAATTTGTACTTAAACAAAGTGTCACGATACTATACAATCGAGCAAAACGCTTAAGCGACTCTTTATCCATTAAGTACGAATTTTTATACTAAACAAAGGCACTTTGAAAAATGTTTGTCTTTGTGTTTGTTTTAGAAATGACCTAATTTTTTTTTTTTTTTTTTTTTTTTGAGAAATAGAAAAACTAAAAAAATGTTAAATGTTATTGGCTATGTTGGCGATGGTAGCACTAGCACAGCTTTAAGGATTATATATATAATTTTTAAACTCTCATAAGAAGATTAAATTCATTGTAGTGTTGGGAAATAATATAATCGTATACATATATAAAAAATTTCTATGTATAATTATGAAAATAATTAAATTTAATTAACTTACTACTCTATTTGTGCTGCCTATATGTACATAGCATATATTTCTTATACATTTTTATAAATAATTCTGCTTTTCCCCTAAACTAAAAGTAAGTTTAACAATAAAAGTCATAGTAAATGCCTTTTTTACATATAAATATCTTCCTGAAAATATTATTCAGTGTTACTGCACACCTGTAAGTTTACACATTTGTATTCATTTCATTGTAGTAGTACTCGCGTATGTATTGTATATTCAATAAGGCATATATTTATACCTGAGTATGTATTAAAATATTCCAGAGTAAATATTTAAATATATATAAAATTATATGTCTGGCATTTACATAAATATTTAACGATAAGCCTCTGTATGGTGTGTTCACGCCGTGTTACCAAGAGCACGATTCCAAGTGGCAGTGTATTCACATAAACTTAATTAGCATGTCGGTTTCGTTTGACTTGGTTAAAGTTTTTTTCTTCATTCATTATTCGATTCTTGTGCTCTTGACTGATGTATAATTCGAAAATAATTTAAATTGTAAACGATGTGACAAGTGGTTCTTTATTTGACGTCAAAGTGTTTTAGTTTCTTCTAATTAATTTTAGAAATTATTTATGATAAGCATGGGTGAAATACGGCAGTGGTCACTATCGGTGGTTACCATTAATCACAACTACAGAACTAAAACTATTTTATTTCGTCCTCTTGCTCAGTCCTAATATTTTCATTATGTACGTCAATATAAATGACTACAAGTAGAAAAGCAATAAAAATAGGTTTGGTCTAGTTAAACAGATTCATTAATAAACAACAATTTTGAGTAATAAGAATTAATCGATAAATTTTCTTTCATAAAATAACAAAAAATAGTCATAATTTTTCCTTCACTTCAAAACTTTAATTAAAAATTCTCTCTGATTTATGAATGAACATTGAATATGCAAGAGTCGTTCAGAACAAATGTCTAGAGCAGAGTTCCTCAACTACTGGCATCATATTTTCGCCCTTAATAATATTATTTTCTAAAACGGTTTCGGAACTGGTCCTTGCAAAACCTATTGAATATTTTTTCGTTGCGCAGTATATTTTGGGTTGACCAACACTGGTCTATAGTATTGTGAATTACTAACTTATATGGTTAACAGATGTCCCAGTTTAAATTATCATCAATTGAAATGACAAATTATTTGCATTTTTTTAATTCATAAAAAATAGTAATTGTGGAATAAAGAAATTGTATAATATGGTAAAATGATTTCATATTCCAACGATAAAGTATATAACAATTATTAAGCCTGAATTTACTTTTAAAAAACTGGAAATTTTTTTGCATTAATTACCATTACAAATGTTAATTAACAGTTATTTTGAAAAACTATAAAAATAAACTAGAAATGAAGTCTTATTTTTTATCTAAAACGCAGTAACTTAATTTTTTAACATCAATTCAGTTTTTAATCAAAATATGCATGTATCAAATTAGTAAAGTATATCATAAATGAATTTTTTAATTTTTTTCAAATTTTTCATCAAGAAAAAGAAATTCATTAGTATAACAAATAATATTATAATAGACACACTATAAGTGTCTGAAACCCTGAACATGAAAGTTAAGCATATAACTTTTCTGAATGCAATATTCAACTGCGAAAGCAGAGTAAGCGGTAAATGAGGCCAAAACATTACTGAAATGTGATTTGTTCAAACTGCCAAGAATTTCATATATTTTGGAACTGTTATAGCTAACAACAACGTTATCAACCCAGAGAACAAACGAAGATTTGCCATTGCTACTAGGTGCTTCTATGGGCTCAATAAACAATGCCGTTTTCACATTATAATTTTTGATTATAATGTTTATTTATTATTTTATGTTAAGTATATTTAGTTCCAAAGATATGGTCATAACTGCTATTATATGGAATGGTTTCGGTAAACCTATTAATAATATTCAATATTAGCATTGTGTTAATGATACATACAAATATACTAAACATTGTACTAAACAAACTATATATACTATATATAAAAACTTATATACTATACTATACTTTTACTTAAATATAACTAAAAACAATAGACTATACAAATTATTTAGATATTTTTTTTTGATAATTGTAATTTTTTTTAGCGCAATAAACCACAAATATTTATTAGTTCCAAGTATAAGTACAGCTCTAAGCATGTAGCAGTCATTCAAATTATATAAAATGTTATTATTATTATTATTTTTTTTATTATTTTTATGAGCACATACAGTAAATATAATGTATCAAGAATAGTAAATCTTAAGGCCCTCATAATTACATATTATGTATATAAATCAGTGAGTAACTTACCAGTATTTTTACTTTGAACTCATAAAAACAACACGATGCTCTTGATATGCTGTTAATTAGATGATAACGCACGATTTAATACTCTGGAAATAGAAAATTAAGATACACTTGAAAAATTTTTTAAAAATTATTAATATTAAAAAATAATATCGTTTCAATTACTTATACAGTGTGCTTGAGGCCATTGTGTTTATGTTTGCAAAGAAAATTTATTTTCAAAAATAGTTTGAAATTTTACGATAAATATACAATATATATTCTATATAATATAAAACTATATAATATTTTCTTTTGCTTTAGAAAATCCTATAGTTATATCTTTTAATGTGATTACACACATTTTTTATACTTTGTTCTTCCATTAACAATTAAAGTATTTTGTTATTATCAAGGACATAAAATCCTAAGGGGCTGAATACCAATTTTATATGCTCTTGCCACAGGAAGTTTCTATTGTTTTAGGTACCAACACATCGACTTCGGTACAGAAACGTGCAGTATTACAGAGCAATTACCAATGCAGATGGGCACACATAGATTCATAAAAATACGTTAGTTTGCCTACATTTATCTTAAACTCATTGTACATTAATTATAGAATGAACTATGAACTTTTTGGTAAATAACACATTTCGTTGCCAGAAGCGTTTTCGAGTTTGCTATGCAGTACGGGTATAACACAATAACACAATCTCTTACCGCAACTGAATATAATTGAGTTAGAACTGCAATCATTTAATTGGCATTAATAAATTTAAGTACACAAACAATGGCTAGTAAAGTTAATAACTACCATAAATCATTTGATTGATATGCTTAATTTGACGATTAATGTTTTACAAATATCCTTTAATTTATAGGTGTTTGCTGCCAAAATTTATGATCTACTTCTCATATCTGTAAAACCAGAATAATTTATCAAAGCTGACACACTTAAACAAAAACAAAAACATGCAAAAGTAGAGTAAGAAGAAAAAAAAACCATAGATAAAATAAGAGTATTGCTTTGGTTTTTGATCTACTATTTAACCATTTAAATGTATTAAAGTTGCTTCTCATATGGTATAAGTTAATAAACACTTTATATACCTATTAAGACAGTATAGTTTATTGCATGAAGTGTCTATACAGCACTTTTGTGCTTTATTGTATTTATTTTGTATTTTAAAAGTCGGAAAAATATTTTAAATTTTAAATATATATTTGATATATATTCACTTATCCATACATTGATCTTTAGTTAGACTTATTTCTACAGAAAATTAATAAAATTTTTAAAAATGCTAAATAATCGCACTTAACTGCTTATCTAAAATCAACACCTCACGTGAACACTGCAAAGCTTACTTCAGTTCTCTCTGGTCATTGGTGGATAGGAACCCACGCAAAAACACTGAGTATTCCTTACTGCAGAAGTTGCGGAAATCTGCGGAAAAAAAACCATAATACATTTTCTCTGTGAATGTCCGGCTTTAGCGTCCAGAAGAAATAGGTTTTTAGGAAATACTTCTTTGACAGTCTATAAGACTGTTCATCGGTGAAGACAAGAGACCTATTAAATTATCTATATTCGATGTGATGGATTTAGTCTCTACTTTTTTATACTAGAGGTTCTTGCGAGGAATGTGGTAGCAAAATGGCGAAAAATCGCTAATTGAGATACATGGAAGTTATCTGCAACCAACCAACCCAGCAGATGTCTTTCTCGCTTCCTCAATAGCCCTACTAAATTCTGCATATTTTACCGACGTCTACAATCTCTTTCTCATAAACACTCTCAATATCCTCAATATATTTTGACAAAATGAATTAAGCTTCGTATTCCGCTCTTTTACGACGCACTCAACTCAAGCTTAATGAGTTTCAGACGTTCTGCTAACACCTGATTTATAATAGTTGGGCAATTACCTCAGCTTAATGCACATCAAGCCGTAGCTGATGAACACTTTTCGCCACATGGCCAACCTCATCTACAGAGTACTGTATTTTCTTCTAATCCCAAGTAACTTTGAATTTCAAATAT